CCCCGAGGGGGGACTCAGGGCGGCTTACAAAAGGCACAATTCGATGCCTACACATACGTATAAAACAGCAATTAAAACAATTAAAACAATCAATATATAAGACAATTAATAAAACTAATCTCATGCTCAGCGTTCATCCTTCAGAGTTCCATAATTTAATTCCACTTCGTCCATTCTTGTCAATTGTCAAAGTCCTTTCTTTATCTGCCAGATTGTCCGAATGCCTGGTCCCAAATCTATGTTTTCAATTTTCTCTTAAAAGAAAGGAGGGATGTCGCTGATCTAATTTCCCCGGGGAGTGAATTCCATAGGTGAGGGGCCACCACCGAGAAGGCCCTGCTCCATGTCCCCGCCAATCTCACCTGTGATAGAGGCGGGGTCGAGAGCAGGGCCTCCCCAGAGGATCTCAGACTCCGAGTTGGGGCATAGAGGGAGATCCGTTCGGACAGCGGGGTGCAAATAAAGATTATTATTATTATTATTATTATTATTATTATTATTAGGTGAAGTGGCCCTATGTGGAAGGGCCCAGTAAATCACAGAGTTGGAAGAGACCTTGAGGGCCATCCAATCCAACTCCCTGCCAAGAAGCAGGAAAATCACATTCAAAGCACCCCGACCGATGCCCATCCAGCCTCCCCCACGACCCCTTTTTCTGATTTATGTTTTCGGCAGCATTCAGATGACAAAATACAAAGGCTAGTCTTTGTAGGCTGGCCAACAAAAACAGCCTGCAGGTAAAACTTGAGCGATGAGAAGGAACTGAAGGAAAGGAGGGAGGGAGAAAGCGAGGGGGAGGGATCAGGGATTCGCTTTCAGGCCTTTCGTGGACGAAGAAAGAGAAAGCAAGCCCTGCGGTGCAAGAGAAGGAAGGTCCTCTACCTCCTCCTCCTGAAGGTGTCACAGGAGACAGCTTATCCCGGGACAGAGGCGAGGCTGCGCAGGGTATTGCGAGCCCCTACCTGTCGCTGTCCCTTTGGAGGCTGTTGCTTCTGTTCCTCCTGTGCACCCCGGGGATGCGGCGCTCTACGCAAATGCGTAATTTGCCTAATGGTTCAGCCGCCCCTGCCTGTCATAAGCAGCCAAGGATCTCTGCATAAAAAAGGGATGGGATTCCTCTTTGGCAGCAATAACGTTGAATTTATAATCCTGGGAACAACTGATGTATCAGCCTTTATATACAGAACCATAAGGAAACCTCCCTCTCTTGGAAACAAAAACATGGTGACAGCATCACTTGCGTGTGTTAGCCACAAAGCTTTGCGGAAATACAGTGACCTTCGGAAATAAAGTGTAAGTTAGTACGACAGGAAGCCCAACGCTTACCAAAGTCACCCAGATTCGAAGTTGTTGTCCAACACTCAAAGCAACTACGTCACACTGTCTTTGAATTTACCCACTTTTAAAAACTGGTACAGATTAAAACATAAGAGTTAAAAACAGGCATGAGGCTATGAAACAACTGATAGCGTTAAGAAGAATTTGGAACAAATTGATTAAAACAATGCAACTCTTTCCATATAAAGTCACTTCCAAATGGTTTCTTGGGAGAACAAGCTCTCTTCTGGGGAGACTTAGGCTCAATCCTTTAGGTAAAGGTAAAAGTAGTCCCCTGACATTGAGTCCAGCCATGTCTGACTCTGGGGTGTGGTGCTCATCTCCATTTCTAAGCCGAAGAGCCAGCGTTGTCTGTAGACACCCCCAAGGTCATGTGGCCACTGGCATGACTGCATGGAGCGCCGCTCAATCCTTTAGGTCCATATAAAATCCAGATTATCTGCTTTGAACTGGATTATATGGCAGTGTAGACTCATCTTTTGGATTAAAACCTGAATCCATGAGTTTACTAAACAGTGTGTACATAAGGTCAGATGCTGGCAGTTGGACTCTTGCCGATAGATGGGTTGAAGCATGTTTTTGCTGTGAAAGGACTCTGCTGTGTTTCGCTTGCTATCCAGCTTGCAACGGTTCAGAGAGGTCTTGATTTGGAAACTATAAATCACTTCATGTACCAGCATCCCACAATTAACATCAGTGTAGATACTTCAATGTGCAATCTAAAAGCTGTCAACAGTGAAGTGGCTTCCAACGTCCATATGTTGGAGTGTGATTTCTCCACTAAACGGCTTCTTGGGCAGAAGGGAGATGCTTTTCCAACACTCCGCAACCCGCATGGGTTCGTTGATGTTTAGTGCATGCACCCCGACGGCTGAAGGTCTTCCCGCACTCTGCACATTGATACGGCTTCTCCCCCGTGTGGATCCTTTTGTGGATGGTGCATGCACCGTACTGGCTGAATCCCTTCCCGCACTCTGTGCAGGTGTAGGGTTTCTCCCCGGTGTGGGTCCGTTGATGCCTCACCCAGGTCCCGCTGTCGCTGAAGCTCCTCCCGCACTCCACGCAGGTGTAGGGCTTCTCTCCCGTGTGCCTCCTCTGATGGGACGTGAGTGTCCCGCTCCGGTTGAAGCTCTTCCCGCACTCTGTGCACTTGTAAGGCTTCTCTCCCGTGTGAATTCTTTCATGCAATGCAAGGGAATTGCTGCTAATGAAGGTCTTCCCACACTCCATGCACTTGTAGGGCTTCTCCCCGGTGTGGATTCTCTGGTGCTTAGTGCACGCTCCACTGTCGCTGAACATCTTCCCACACACGGCGCACTTGTAGGGCTTCTCGCCCGTGTGGGTTCTCCGATGGGAGGTGAGGTGGCTGCTCACGCGGAACCTTTTCCCGCATTCTGTACATTGATACGGCTTCTCCCCGGTGTGGGTCCTTTGGTGCAAACCCAAGGCGCTCCTCACCGAGAAGGTCTTCCCACACTCCATGCACTTGTAGGGCTTCTCCCCGGTGTGGATCCGCCCGTGGATGATCAGTTTGCTACCTTCGCTGAAGCACCGCCCGCACTCCAGGCACTCGTACGGCTTTTCCCCCGTGTGGGTCCTCTCGTGCAACGTCAGGGCGCTGCTCATCGTGAAGCCCTTCCCGCACTCGGCGCACTCGTAAGGCCGCTCCCCGGTGTGGGTTCTCTCGTGCAATATGAGAGCATTGGTGCTAATGAAGCTCTTCCCACATTCCATGCATTTGTACGGCTTGTCCACTCCGGACATTCTTTGACGTTCAGCGGGTGGCCTCATATGACCGTACGTCCTCCTGGCTTCCATCTCTTGACCTTTCTCCTCTTCTTTCAAATGGGTTTGTTGATGTTCCTCACACACCCAACGCTCATTCATGCTCTTCCTGCATTCCATGCATTTATATGGCTTCTCCGCAGTGGGTATTCTTTCACGTATAGCAGGTCCTTCACTATTAATGAACATCTTCTCACCTTCCATCCCTTTCCATTTCTCCTCCATGTGGGCTCGTTGATGTTCCTCACATGCCCCATGCTCACTGAAGCTCTTCCTGCATTCCATGCATTGATATGGCTTCTCCGCAATGGGTATTCTTTCACGTATAGCAGGTCCTTCACTATTAATGAACATCTTCTTGCCTTCCATCTCTTTCCATTTCTCCTCCATGTGGGTTCGTTGATGTTCCTCACATGCCCCATGCTCACTGAAGCTCTTCCTGCATTCCATGCATTGATATAGCTTCTCCACGATGGATGTTCTTTCCATCTCTTGACCTTTCTCCTCTTCTTTCAAATGGGTTTGTTGATGTTCCTCACACACCCAACGCTCATTCATGCATTGATATGGCTTCTCCGCAATGGGTATAGCAGGTCCTTCACTATTAATGAACATCTTCTCGCCTTCCATCTCTTTCCATTTCTCCTCCATGTGGGTTCGTTGATGTTCCTCACATGCCCCATGCTCACTGGAGCTCTTCCTGCACTCCATGCATTGATATGGCTTCTCCACGATGGGTATTCTTTCACGTATAGCAGGTCCTTCACTATTAATGAACATCTTCTCACCTTCTATCCCTTTCGATTTCTCCTCCATGTGGGTTAGTTGATGTTCCTCTCATTCTCACTGCAGCTCCTTCGGCACTCCATGCATTCGTACTGTTTGTTCACTATGTTAATGGAGTTGACCTATTAATAAGAAAAAATGCAATATGTCACATGACTTTAGCATGGAAATGCTTCAATAC